GGTGGGCGGATCACGAGGTCAAGAGACCGAGTCTATCCTGGCCAACATGGTGAAACCCCGTCTCTACTAAAAATACAAAAATTAGCTGGGCATGGTAGCGCGTGCCTGTAATCCCAGCTACTCGGGAGGCTGAGGCAGGAAAATTGCTTAAAACCAGGAGGCGGAGGTTGCAGTGAGCCGAGATTGTGCCACTGCACTCCAGCCTAGCGCCTGGCGACAGAGTGAGACTCTGTCTCAAAAAAAAAAATAAATAAATAAAAATAAAAGAGGACCAACTGTTGGGAGAGTCTCTGGCTCCCGGTACTTCTTGTTAGCCGCTCAAGTTTCAACTGGCCCAGCAATTTCCCTGCCTAGCTGGAGCAACTTGGGCTCTCCGGGCTCCCATCCCAAGTCCAAGCTGAAGTGTCCTCAACTCCTCCGGCTGCCAAGGAGCATTTATCTGGTTTCCCAGTGACTCCCAGGCTGAAGGTTACTTTCCCCAGTGCTGTCTCCCATGGTTTCCTAATATTATTTATCTTTCTCCAGTTTCTTCTCTGCCTTCTGTCTGAAGGTGTATATTCTATTTTTGTTTTCAGAATGAATTTCTCTTATGCACTAGAAATATGTTTTCATCATCCATTAACTCTAAATGAGAACCTAAAGGTATATAAAAACACCCTTAGCATAGAACTGCTGAGTGACTAAGTTACAGAGAAGAAGAGGCAAATACCGCCATTGCTTCTAAGACTGCACATGCTAAAACTACCACAAATGCCAGAACAGAACATTGTATTATCATTATCAAAATTAGGGAAAGGCCAGGTAATTCCATCATGCCTGTAATTCAAGCATTTTGGGGGTGTCAAGGTGGGAGGATTACTTGAGCTCAGGAGTTTGAGACCCACCTGGGCAACATGACAAAACCACATCTCTACAAAAAAATACAAAAACCAGAGGATGTGGGGCATGCACCTCAAGTCCCAGCTACAAGGGACACTGAGGTGCGAGGATCACTTGAGCCTGAGAGATTGAGGCTGCAACAAGCTGTGATCGTGTCACTGCACTCCAGCCTGGGTGACAGGGCAAGACTCTATCAAAAAACAAAAACAAAATTAGGGAAAGTACACTGTGAACAAGTGTTTATTCAGCAAATTTTTCTTTTCTTTTTTTTTTTTGAGACAGAGTTTCGCTGTTGTTATCCAGGCTGGAGTGCAATGGCGCTATCTCGGCTCACCGCAACCTCCGCCTCCTGGGTTCAGGCAATTCTCCTGCCTCAGCCTCCTGAGCTGGGATTACAGGCACGTGCCACCATGCCCAGCTAGTTTTTTGTATTTTTAGTAAAGACGGGGTTTCACCATGTTGACCGGGATGGTCTCGATCTCTTGACCTCATGATCCACCCGCCTCGGCCTCCCAAAGTGCTGGGATTACAGGCGTGAGCCACTGTGCCCGGCTATTCAGCAAATTTTTCAATTTTTTTTTTTCTGAAACGGAGTTTCTCTCTTGCCCAGACTGGAGTGCAGTGGCATGATCTCTGCTCACCACAACCTCTGCCTCCCAAGTTTAAGCGATTCTCCTACCTCAGCCTCCTAAGTAGCTGGGATTACAGGCATGTGCCACCATGCCCAGCTGATTTTTGTATTTTTTTTTTCTATTTACTGTATAGCTAGAAGCACTATTGGAGTAGAGATTTTTGTATTTTTAATAAAGACGGGGTTTCTCCATGTTGGCCAGGCTGGTCTCAAACTTCGAACCTCAGGTTGATCCACCTGCCTCAGCCTCCCAAAATGCTGGGATTACAGGCATGAGTCACTGCACCTGGCCTCAAATGATTTTTTTTTTTTTTTTTTTTTTTTTTTTAAGACAGAGTTTTTAGCCGGGCGCGGTGGCTCAAGCCTGTAATCCCAGCACTTTGGGAGGCCGAGGCGGGTGGATCACGAGGTCAAGAGATCGAGACCATCCCGGTCAACATGGTGAAACCCCGTCTCTACTAAAGGTGCAAAAACTTAGCTGGGCATGGTAGCGTGTGCCTGTAATCCCAGCCACTCCGGAGGCTGAGGCAGGAGAATTGCCTGAACCCAGGAGGCGGAGGTTGCAGTGAGCCGAGATGGCGCCATTGCACTCCAGCCTGGGTAACAAGAGCGAAACTCCGTCTCAAAAAAAAAAAAAAAAAAAAAAAAAAAAAAAAAAAAGACAGAGTTTTGCTCTTGTTACCCAGGAGTGCAATGGCGCAATCTTGGCTCACCGCAACCTCTGCCTCCTGGGTTCAGGCAATTCTCCTGCCTCAGCCTCCTGAGTAGCTGGGATTACAGGCACGCACCACCATGCCCAGCTAATTTTTTATATTTTTAGTAGAGACGGAGTTTCACCATGTTGACCGGGATGGTCTCGATCTCTTGAACTCGTGATCCACCCGCCTCGGCCTCCCAAAGTGCTGGGATTACAGGCGTGAGCCACCACACCCGGCTCAAATGATTTTTTATTTATTTATTTATTTATTTATTTATTTTTTGAGACGGAGTTTCGCTCTTGTTACCCAGGCTGGAGTGCAATGGCGTGATCTCGGCTCACCGCAACCTCTGCCTCCTGGGCTCAGGCAATTCTCCTGCCTCAGCCTCCTAAGTAGCTGGGATTACAGGCATGCACCACCACGCCCAGCTAGTTTTTTGTATTTTTAGTAGAGACAGGGTTTCACCATGTTGACCAGGATGGTCTCGATCTTTCAACCTCGTGATCCACCCGCCTCGGCCTCCCAAAGTGCTGGGATTACAGGCTTGAGCCACCGCGCCCGGCCTCAAATGATTTTTTAAAGTATATTTTCCTGTTTTGTTTTGTATGGCACTAACTCTGTAACTGTTGTGTTCCATTTTACCCAAAGCATTGACACTTCCACACATATTTATGAATCAAAATTTAAAGATTAATGCATAAACAGGCACTTACTTTAATTTTCTTTTTGATTTTTTTTTTTTTTTTTTTGAGATGGAGTTTTGCTCTGTCACTCAGGATGGAGTGCAGTGGTGTGATTGTGGCTCACTGCAACCTTTACCTCCTGAGTTCAAGCGATTCTCAAGCCTCAGGCTCCTGAGTCCTGGATTATATGAACCATCATGCCTGGTTAATTTTGTATTTTTAGTAGAGACGAGGTTTCACCATGTTGGCCAGGCTGGTCTTAAACTCCTGGCCTTAAGTGATCTGCCCACCTTAGCCTCCCAAAGTACTGGGATTACAGGCATGAGCCATCATGCCTGGCCAACTTTTACAAGGGAAATTCTTGGAATCTGAAGTGTCTTGCAAGGTAGGAGGCTATTGCAACCATTCCAACTAGTGTGTCAACAGTCTTCTCTAAGGTGGGCTAGAAAAATGGTTTCACAGTCAGGTACCGTAGCTCACTCCTGTAATCCCACCACTTTGGGAAGCAGAGGTAGGTGGATCACCTGAGCTCAGGAGTTCAAGACCAGCCTGGCCAACATGGTGAAACCCCGTCACTACTAAAAATACAAAAATTAGCTGGGATTGGTGGCTAGTGCCTGTAGTCCCAGCTACTCAGGAGGCTGAGGCAGGAGAATAGCTTGAACCCGGGAAGTGGAGGTTGCAGTGAGCTGGATCCTGTCACTGCACTCCAGCCTGGGCAACAGTGTCTCAAAAAACAAAAACAAAACAAAACAAAAAGGGTTTCATACCCAAATTGTAACTCTGAAAAACAACTGATGGTAATAAGAGATTTCCAGAATCAGACAGAACCAAGAGAAACAATTAGTTCTGGTAGAGTTCTGTGACAATCAAAGTTAGAAGTCTGTCCTCGGTAGCTGAAATATAACTAACTTCAAAGACTCCAGGCCTGGCGGTGGCTTGTGCTAATAACCATAACACTTTGAGGGACCAAGGCCGGAGGATCGATTCAGCCCAGGAGTTCAAGGCTGCAGTAAGCTATGATCGCACCACTGCACTCCAGCCTGGGCAACACAAGCTCCTGTTTTTTAACAAGACAGTGTTACTAAAAAAAAAAAAAAAAAAAAAAAAAAAAAAAAAAAGCCATTACAGGTGGCTCACACCTGTACTCCCAGCACTTTGGGAGGCTGAGGCAGGCGAATTACGATATCAGGAGTTCGAGACCAGCCTGGCCAACATGGTAAAACCCCATCTCTACTGAAAACACAAAAATTAGCCGGGCGTGGTGGCACGCACCTATAACCCTAGCTACTCGGGAGACTGAGACAGAAGAATTGCTTGAACCCAGGAGGCAGAGGCTGCAATGAGCTGAGACCATGCCACTGCACCCCAGCCTGGGTGACAGGGTGAGGCTTTGTCTCAAAGAAAATAAAAGACTGCCCCTATGAAACAATTCTACCATGAACACTGATGTTGTCCTGTGGAAGATGGACTGAGAACATCATTAAATGGTTTCCACCCAGTTTCTGGGTAATTTTATCTTTAAGTTTTTGATATGGGAGTCTCGCTATGTTGCCCAGGCTGGGCTCAAACGATCCTCCCACCTCGGCCTCTCAAAGTGCTGGGTTTACAGGTGTGAACCACCGAGCTGGTCAAGGGTAACTTTTTAAGTGCTGCCCAACAGCTCATTACCTCCTTCTCAAGGAGCATGAGTGGCAAACCACTTCCAGGAACGTGGAGGTGGTCTTTTACAGATTTGGAAGGAAGGATTTATGAGGAAAGGGAAGTCATTCAGAATGAAGGATTTCCTCCTCTGACGCCCAGCAATCCCTCGTTAGGCCTAAGGGTGCCAGACCTCAGGACTTTTCTAGAAAGGGATTTTTCCTCTCCAAGGTGAATCCATCCGTTCCGAAGGTCAGAAGCCATTTTACCGAAGTTTTTGGTTCCACTGAAAAAAATTAAGGGTCAATCAATGCTCCTTGCCCCAAACTTGAATATGCGCCTGCCTCGGGTCATGTTCTACCCTAAAGACTCCACTATCTTGTACTCCCCTATGTCTGGGACGAAAAGGGGTCCTGGAGTGACTCTCCTAGAAACCAGTTTCTCAGGGACTCCTTCCGGGGAGCTTACCGCGCCCTCACTGTCCGCCGGTCCCAATGCTCCCGGAGACCACCCGCGGCCCGGACGCCAGCGAGGAGAACACCTCGGTCGCACTCTCATTGGTTCCAGGAGGCCGGAAGTGCGTGCGTCCGGCGGAAGTGCTCCTCCGGCGCGGTCCGCCAGGCCGGGGCCCTCAGGTAGGCGGGGCCCCCGGCCCTAAACTCTGGGACTCGCGGACGGGCCGGCGGCACAGCTGGGATCACGGGGACCTAAGAAGGTTGTCCCAGTTTTTGTCTGGGAGGGCCGGAAGGAGTTTCGGGGACCGTGGGTTTACGGCTACCTCTGGTGGTAACCGGGGCCTGGTGGAGCCCCGCCACCGCGGGATCTAAGTGCCGGAGCTTCAAGTTCCCGCGTGGGGTGGGATTTGCTGCGGTGGCCGGAGCTGATTCTTCACCGATTCCGCTTGGTGCTGGGCCAAACGCTGCTCACTTTCAGCCAGAAAGAGACGTGCTCTCCGCCCTCACCTTTTCTATGCCCCTGGGTTTGACGCCTTCCCCCAAGGCGTGTCCGGATGCGGGGTTTTCCTCAAAGACCTCGGCCTCGCTAGGAAAAACCTCGGAAAGGCTGCAGTAGGCGCGGTCGGGGGAGAAAGTGCCGCCGCTGGTGATGTCTCGGGCTGCTCTAGCGGAAGTTATCTGAACTGCCTTAGGGCAAGTCTATATAGAGCAAATAAAATTACTTGTTAATGGTTTCCTTTTTTCCAGCCATCTCCACCCCCAGGTGGTTTGAACTTTGAGCCTTTTGTAGTCCTGATGAATAATTTCATTTTCCTCAAGTTTATGACACTCAGAACGTCAAGAACTGGAGGTTTCTGCAGTTTGAGACCGGTCAGCACCGTGCAGAGATCAGAGTACTAAGAGACAGGTGAGCATGAATGAGTACCCTCCACTCCAGATTACAGTGTCTGAGAGCGGTTTCTGTAGTTTCGGTAAAAGTACACCACCTTAGCCTGGCGCGGTGGCTCACACCTGTAATGCCAGCACTTTGGGAGGCCCAGGTGGGCGGATCATCTGAGGTCGGGAGTTCAACACCAGCATGACCAGCATGGAAAAACCCCGTATCTACTAAAAATACAAAAAGTAGCCGGGCGTGATGGCGCATGCCTGTAATCCCAGTTACTCGGGAGGCTGAGGCAGGAGAATCTCTTGAACCCCGGAGGCGGAGGTTGCCATGAGCCGAGATCGCGCCATTGCACTCCAGCCTGGGCAGCAAGGGCCAAACACCATCTCAAACAAAACAAAACAAAACAAAAAACGCTGAGGCGGGTGGATCACGAAGTCAGGAGATCCAGAGCATCCTAACATGGGGAAATCCCGTCTTTACTAAAAACAAGAAAATTAGCCGGGCATGGTGGCATGCACCTGTAATCCCAGCAACTCAGGAGGCTGTGGCAGGCTGTGGCAGGAGAATCGCTTGAACTCGGGAGGCAGAGGTTGCAGTGAGCGGAGATCGCACCACCTAACTCTAGCCTGGGTGACAGAGTAAGACTCCAGCTGAAAAAAAAAAAAAAAAAAATGCACCACCTTGCCGGGCGCGGTGGCTCACGCCTGTAATCCCAGCACTTTGGGAGGCCGAGGCGGGTGGATCACGAGGTCAAGAGATCGAGACCATCCTGGTCAACATGGTGAAACCTCGTTTCTACTAAAAATACAAAAAATTAGCTGGGCCTGGCGGCGCGTGCCTGTAATCCCAGCTACTCAGGAGGCTGAGGCAGGAGAATTGCCTGAACCCAGGGGGCGGAGGTTGCGGTGAGCCGGTATTGCGCCATTGCACTCCAGCCTGGGTAACAAGAGCGAAACTTCGTCTCAAAAAAAAAAAAAAAAAAAAAAAAAATGCACCACCTTTAGTGACTACTAGGTGCTGCCAATGAGTTAATCTTTCTAGGGTAAATCCCAGTTAATGTAGCACCAGGTTAAGGTTTTTAAAGTACATCCGTTTTTACCTAAATGTATTCAGAATAGCTTTAGCTCCTTAAATATATTGAGCCTTTGTAAATTTGACCAAATTATTGAATTTCTGTTCTGTATTAGGTACTGAGAAAGCTAAGAGAGGAATCAGTCATATTCTGTTCTCCAGAGTTTAGTCAAGAGAGGAATAATGTATTATAATGCAATCACATATAATTGAAGGCAGAAATAAGTGCTAAATAGAGAATAAGATTTCAGCGGGACGCAGTGACTCAGGACTGTAATCCCATCACTTTGGGAGACCGAGGCGAGTCGATCACCAGAGGTCAGGAGTTCTAGACTACTCTGGACAACATGGTGAAACTCCGTCTCTTTTAAAAATACAAAAATTGGCCGGGCGCGGTGGCTCAAGCCTGTAATCCCAGCACTTTGGGAGGCCGAGGCGGGTGGATCACGAGGTCAAGAGATCGAGACCATCCTGGTCAACATGGTGAAACCCCATCTCTACTAAAAATACAAAAAAAATTAGCTGGGCATGGTGGCGCGTGCCTGTGATCCCAGCTACTCAGGAGGCTGAGGCAGGAGAATTGCCTGAACCCAGGAGGCGGAGGTTGCAGTGAGCCGAGATCGCGCCATTGCCCTCCAGCCTGGGTAAGAAGAGCGAAACTCCGTCTCAAAAAAAAAAAAAAAAAATTAGTTAGGTGTGGTGACATGTGCCTGTAGTTCCAGCTACTGGAGAGGCTGAGGCAGGAGAACTGCTTGAACCCAGGAGGCGGAGGTTGTAGTGAGCCAAGATCACACCACTGCACACTCCAGCCTGGGCAACAGTGAGACTCTGTCTCCAAAAAAAAAAAAAAAAAGGCCAGGCACGGTGGCTCACGCCTGTAATCCCAGCACTTTGGGAAGCCGAGGCAGGTGGATCACAAGGTCAGGAGTTTGATACCAGCCTGGCCAACATGATGAAACCCCGTCTCTACTGAAAATACAGAAATTAGCTGGGCGTAGTGGTGAGCGCCTGTTATCCCAGCTGGTCAGGAGGCTGAGGCAGGAGAATCACTTGAGCCCGGGAAGCAGAGGTTGCAGTGAGCTGAGATAGTGCCTCTGCACTCTAGCCTGGGCAACAAGAGTGAAACTCTGTCTCAAAGAAAAAAGAATGCATGACATTTTTGGAACAGCAAGTCATCCAGTGTGGTTAGACTCTAGGAAACTAAATCTGAAAAGACATTGTCAGTTACATCTTGGGTTTGCCTCAACTTTTACTGGAAAGTTCTACAGACTTCAGAGAAATATTAAAATGAACAATTTCCAGGAAAAATGCACTAAACTATTATACATGAAATGTAGCTATAATAAATTACACTTCAGGATATAATGCTTGTTTATATTTGCATATCATTGATGATTCACGCCAATTTTTTTTTTTTTTTTTTTTTTTTGGGACAGAGTCTCACTCTGTAGCCCAGGCTGGAGTGCAGTGGCACAATCTCAGCTCACTGCAACCTCCACCTCCCGGGTTCAAGCAATTCTCCCGCCTTAGTCTCCCAAGTAGCTGCGATTATAGGTGCCTACCACCACATCTGGCTAATTTTTGTATTTTTAGTAGAGACAGGGTTTCACCACGTTGGCCAGGCTGGTCTCGAACTCCCGACCTCAAGTGATCGACCCGCCATGGCCTCCCAAAGTACTAGGGTTATAGGTGTGAGCCACTGCACCCGGGACTTAGACCAATTTTAAAAAATTAGGGAGTAATATTTTGTCACTATATTCTATTTCGAATATACTGTAAGAATCTTCTCCTTTGAAGTACACATGTCAAAACATCTGGTAATGATTTCATTATATTAGGAAAACAAAACATGTTTTAATAAGTTAAATGGAAAGTTTTTTTTTTTTTTTTTTGAGGCGGAGTTTCGCTCTTGTTACCCAGGCTGGAGTGCAATGGCGCGATCTCGGCTCACCGCAATCTCCGCCTTCTGGGTTCAGGCAATTCTTCTGCCTCAGCCTCCTGAGTAGCTGGGATTACAGGCACACGCCACCATGCCCAGCTAATTTTTTTGTATTTTTAGTAGAGACGGGGTTTCACCATGTTGACCAGGATGGTCTCGATCTCTTGACCTCGTGATCCACCCGCCTCGGCCTCCCAAAGTGCTGGGATTACAGGCTTGAGCCACCGCGCCCGGCCCAAATGGAAAGTTTTATGGGGTGTTTAGGTTTTTTTTGAGACAGAGTTTTGTTCTTGTTGCCCAGGCTAGAGTGCAATGGTGCAATCTCGACTCACTACAACCTCTGCCTCCAGGGTTCAAGCGATTCTCCTGCCTCAGCCTCCAGAGTAGCTGGGATTATAGGTATGCACCACCACGCCTGGCTAATTTTGTATTTTTAGTAGAGGCGAGGTTTCTCCATGTTGGTCAGGCTGGTCTCAGACTCCGGACCTCAGGTGATCCACCCACCAAAAAGATGTTCATCAGCTGGGCTTGGGGGCTCAACACCTATAATCCCAGCATTTTGGGAGGCTGAGGTCAGAAGATCCCTTGAGTCCAGAAGTTCAAGACCAGCTTGGGCAACAGAGGGAGATCCCATCTCTACAAAAAAATAAATTAGCCAGGCATGATGGCGTGTGCCTGTAGTTCCAGCTACTCAGGAGGCTGAGGTGGAAAAATGGCTTGAGCTCGAGAGGCTGAGGCTATAGTGAACTGTGATTGTGTGACTATGCTCCAGCCTGGGTTACAGAGTGAGTCCCGTTCTCAGGGGAAAAAAAAGAGGGGGATGTTCATGCTCATAAGTAATTAGGTAAATTTACGTAAGACCAATGAGATAATGTCAGGAGTTTTCAGGTCCTGGAGTATACTTATAAAAATGAAAAAAAAAAGCTATAGTGATTCACTTCATAAAGCAAAACCACATTTGATCTACTTCTTTATATATCTGTATTTCCATTTATCAAATTTGTTTAAAGTAAAATAGACCAATAATGAAGACTTCTAATTAATTTGTCAAGTCACTTAATGAGGGCTTTCAGGCATTTTTATGGAGTGTTATTACTATATGAGTTTAAACTTTTATGTCTAAATTGATTTTCTTTGTATAACTATCTTTCAGACACCAGAGTGTAGCCTGTTTTTTGAGTCAGGGTCTCGCTCTTGTCAGCCAGGCCAGAGTGCAGTGGCAAGATCATGGCTCGCTGCAGCCTCAAATTCCTAGGCTCAAGCAAT